GTTAATCTTTAATATGTCATCTCCAAGTACTTAATGGAGCACTGGAGAACCTGACCCATATTTCTGCTTTCACTTAAAACTGTAAAATAAAATGCCTTTGTAAATAGACTTTGGCAACATACCAAAAGGTCACAACTGGTAAGCTATAATGTCCAAGAGCCTTCCCAACCAAAATGCTTTCCTTTTGTAAAAGTTTCTACAAGACTTATATATACATGACACCCTCCCTGTCCTATTTTCCTTCCTCATCACAATTCCTTTTCTATTTTCTCTTCAATCTTTTAAGTTTTCATTTTTTTAAACTTTTTGTTTTGGAGGTACTGGGGATTGAAGACAGGGTCTCACACATGCTAAATAATTGAACTACATCCCCAACTCTTTTTATTTATTTATTTTTTTGAGACAGGGTTTCCCTAAATTACTCAGGTTGACTTCCAATTTTCAATTCTCCTTCCTCAGCCTACCCAGTAGCTGGGATTACAGATATTGGTTACTATGCTTGGCCTTCAACATTGTTTTATACTTGGCCAAACACTCCTTAAGCAGTATTACTTATACATTCCCTCATCTAGAATTTGAAGAGAGAGAATTAGGTTATTTTCCCATGCTTCTTTCTCAAATTGAAATCATAAAACCAGCCCTTTAAACAAATGTGGTTCCATATGAGTACTTTTCATTTTCCATAAAAAAATTTAACAAGTAAACCTTACTTGGTAGTTCAGAACCTAAACACTGGTATAGGGTACAAGATATAAGTAACTCACAATGAATCCCAATCTTTAATAGTATTAAGAGATTAATTCAGAGAAATAAAGTTATAGAAGAAAATGTGCCTTATCTGCAAAACTACACATACAAATACACATACAGAGACAAGTGAAGTTAAGATGCCTACTAGAGAAATCCAAAGCAATACAACATGGCAAAGGAAAACCATAGTTTTTTTAATTTCAAATCAATTTTATAGAAAAATGTAGAAAATGTTGGTTCTATTAAATTAGATTACTAAATATAAATTTAAATTATGTTCTTTGGCCTCCCTTTGTACCAGTAATGAAGAACTGGCTCTCCCATTCTTGGTTTCACAGGACATCTCCATTTTTCACAATTTAATTCCCTAGAGAAGTAGAGGAATTCTGTAAGAGATTCAAGTTATTGAAGGGTCAGTAATATTGCACCAATTCTGAATTTTCTTTCTGGGAAAGCTAGCAGAAAAAAAATGTTAATTTCCACTAAAACTGATCTCCAAAAATCCATTCATCAAGTGAAAGGTCTACTGCATGATGTGCGAATTACAGCCAAACTGTTGACCAGTCGAAGCTACAAATACCAACGGTCCCTATAAACTCTAAATTTCTAACTAAGGAACTTATTTAGGGCTCCTTGGCAACCAAAGGATATTATAAAAATAGTTCTGAGCTTCCTTTTTTTTTTTTTTTTTTTTAATTAGTTGAGTTTTTTGGCAGTTCTGCAGAATGAATCCAGGGCCTCGCACATACTAGGCTCTATCTGAGTTACATCTCCAGCATGCATAGTACTTTTTGACCAAAATTCGGATTTACTCACTTAAAATAAAGGAAGTTCTTAAGCCAGAAGTACAATTAGTTGCTATCTCTGTGCTTAACTTAATACTTTTCCTTCATTTACAGCCAAAATCAAAATTCCAGTAAGTAAACAATCAGAAAGTATGTTGTTATATGTGTAGCTCCTAATGCAATTCCAACTAATTAAATGCTAGATGCTTGTCTAAAAATCAGAATTTTCAGGATTGTGATTCCAAGCACAGAAACACATTATTAAGAATGTATTACAAAAAGAGAGGTCCTTATCTCATGAAACTAAGTATGTAGCTCCCAAGCTTCAAGAATTGGTTTTAATTTGCTTTGTATAATTTTTTATTCTCTCCATATCATCCAGACCTCTTCTAACCACTGAAGAGTAAACTGAAGATGGATGGTGGAGAAGTTTTAACCTTTTTCCTTCAGCTAGCCATTACTTTCTGTCAAAGTTACTAATTTTTTTCAAGCATTGGTAATTATTTGTCAGGAGCATGTTCTCACATGTGGAAGTTAAAAAGTTATCTCAAAAAAACAGACTAGAACAGTGGCTACCACAGCCTAGGAGGAATAAGGAGGAGGAGTGCAGATAGGATGTCAATAGGTGCAGAGGAACAGTCAGTTGACAGGAATAATTTCTAACATTCTACAGTGTAGATTATATCTATACCACAGCAGTATGACTATGGTTGATGCAATTAATTATTTCAAAATAGCTAGTAGGAAAGATTTGAATAGTCCCAACACAAAGAAATGATGAAGGTCTGAGATGACAATATGCCTGTATCCCTGAGTGATCATTACACACTGTATGTACATATTGAAATTCACTGTATCCCATATATATGTCACTATCAATTAAAAATAAAATTATACTTTAAAAAGTTATAAATATTAAGAAATTTATTTTTTCATAAGTTAAACAGAATTATTCTGGAAGGAAAACATGAAATACTGAGGAAAGTACTTGAAAGTCAATAGAGACACAAATAGATCTGAATTTCCAGGGTTCATTTACAAAAAGAGATATATAGGCACTTGTTCTCCCCCTTTTCAGGAGAGTAAAACAATTTGTATTTACCCTTACTGTCTTAAAAATGCAGAGTTTAAAGAAATTAATAAAAACATAGCAATTTCATTTCATTATGACCATCCCATGTCAAACTATTATTTTCTCCATCACTTTCTGTACCTTATTTTAAAAAGCACTTGTCAAGTACCTATAAACAACCAGACCTAAAATTATACTGGCTTGTATATGTCAGGATATGTTTCTGGTCTTTGAAATACATTCTTTTAAAATCACTGAGATGATCTATTAAAACAACTTTACAATATCAACAGAATTTAAAATATTTAAGTTTCCAAGTCTGTAAAATTAAATTTCCCCTCATACTTAAGTGGAGCTCCTAAACTATGTAAACTCTTAAAGTTTAAAAAAAATTACTTATGAAAATAAAGGAATTAACCACATACATTTGGAATGTTCAATATACAATAAATATCTCAATATACACTTGTGAAATAACTAGAAAATTGTACTTGCTGTGAAATGAAATCTCTATGGCACCTAAGTACTAGCTCAGCACCCAACTGCTGCCACATTCTATCGCTAGTTTGCTGCTGACTAGACTCTTTTGATTCGGAAATTTACAGAATTTTAGAATCTTTTGGAAAATTTGAAAGGCAAATTATTTGACCTTGTATCCTGAAAACTACAGCCCAAAAGTTTGTCTTTCTTTACTAGGCATCCCATCCTTCAAGAGACTCTAGGAGTTGGATGCTCACAACTTTGGCTTACCCTCACAATAGGTAAAGAGAAATCTCTAGTTTTTAACTGATAATAGCTAGTGATCAGAGAAATTGACTGTGTCTAACTTCTATTATAAATTCCTCAATTATATTAACCACAATTCACTAATGCTCAATTAGAAGGCTTAAAATATAAGTAAAATAACTTCTGCTGACAATGCAAACTCATCCAACCTACCAAAACAGTTTTCTGAAATACACAGTTATTGTTAATGTTTAGAAAAATAACAAGGCAAGTTAGGGATTACAAGCTAATGAATTACTTATGTAACTGTACTGTAGTTTAGGGAAAAAAGCATCAAACTCAAAATTATGAGTAGATTACTGTGCTGCCAACATGGAAGCCACTAGACACATGTGGCTATTTATAAAGAAATAAAATTTAAAATTCAGTTCCTCGGTTGCACTAACCACATTTTAACTGCTCAAAAGCCACATCCATGTAGCTAGTGGCTAACGTAGTGGATAAAACAAAAAGAATGTCTCCAACATCACAAAAAGTTCTACTGGACAGCGCTGGTCTAGCGGTTGTAGGTATTTAGATTTTTTTAAATGCAGTATAGGTTCTCTCGAATCAGTAGACTATAGATGTTTTAATTATAAAAGAACCGTACCATATTTTTTTCTGCAATTTGTTTCAAGAAAGATCATTCAAAGTAATAAACTAACTTATTTGAGATTATCAAAATAGAAATATTCAATCAACAAGGTCTGAAAGTATCAAAGGCATTGAAATTACAACTAGGTTTTCACCAAATCATAATCAATGAAAGTATTTAGTCACCAGTAAAAACATAAGGTATTAGGTACAGTAAAAGATTAAGCTACTTAGTAGGACTTGTTTTCCAAGTATGTTACAAGCATCTATTTATATGCGTAACAAGTAACAACTGCTTTTATAATTGGTTTAAAAATAACCTTGCCACAATTAGCTCAAATTGGTGACATCTTACTGCCTACATTTTTAATTGCTTTCAACCAACCTCACCCTAAACATTTACAAATAATATAATGACCATAAGACTTTAAGTGAAGGGCTATTAATTCACAATCCTGAGCAAATACTGCTTGCAGCAAAAGTACACATAAACTCCATGAAATAAGTGGCAATTTAAAAGCCCATCTCTTAATGCAAAGTATTTAGCTTAAAAACTCCAGGATGATAAACCACAAAAGCATGGCAACAAGATACTGAAACTACAGAATAACTTCCAATTTTAAAAAAATAGCATATTACATAGAATTAAAACTTCAGGACAACCTTATACCAATTCAAACTTTTCTCAAGCGCTAATCACTTTGACTAGTGTTAACTTCAAGTGTACGCAAATACGATCACTAAATTACAGAAGACAATTATAGTTCCAATCAGAAAATTTTGTTTTAAGGGAGAATTTTCAAAACTATTTGACAGATTTTACATATAAAAGCTAATACTAAAACCTATCAAAATCAACAGGTCACACTGATTACAAGAAAGTTATCAATGTTGGCATAACATTCCTGTTTGATACTGATTCCTTCTGATTATGTTTACTTCAGAGATCCTTATGAAATCTAAGATCTAGCAAAAAGCATTAATTTATCACTCCTAACATCTGTTTAAAGAGTACTTAAAAAGATGTAACTTACCTGCAACACTAGTGATTGTAACTGGAACTCCCTGCACTTGAACGCCTGCAGCACCCAGGTTGGCCACGCTCACTGTCTGAAGGTTAGGCACTGATGCAAGCTGGGCAGTATTCAAAGTTATTGGGGCACCAGCAACAGCCACAGGAGCGATCTGAGCAAGAGTTGTGCCACCACTTGAAGACACTGGGGTGATGGTTAACTGCTGGGATAGCCCAGCATTCTGAACTTGCAAATTTGAAAGACTCTGAATATTCTGAACCTGTACAGTTTGCCAACTGATTTGTCCTGAAGGTGTTAAAGTTGGAGCCCTGATAAGCACCTGAGTCGGATTTACTGCTTGAAGTTGAACATTCTGCAAAGGCTGCTGCTGGATGGTCTGAATAGTCTGCCCTGACTGGAGTTGAAATGACTGTGGTGGAATAGCCTGAATGATCTGTTGCTGAGGCTGTTGTATCTGGATCTGCTGTAAAATAGGCTGGCCTACAATTTGCACTTGCTGAAGAGAATTTGACTGATCCTGTGCATTCTGTATTCCATTAGACTGAAGTTGACTGGAGCTCTGGGCTTCAGACTCAGCAGCAGCAGGTGTCTGTGATTCTTCAATGGTACGTTCAGAACTACTGGCTGACGTGCTTGCATACTGGCCCGTATCTGCTGAGCTCACTAATGTGTCACTGCTTGTAAGAGTTGACGACGCAGTGGTTGTACAGGTAGTGGAGGAGGAGGGAGATTCCGGCATAGTACTGGCAGAAGCAGTGGTGGTCGTGGGTGTGGAAGCTAACTGATTGCCATTGGAAGTCCCACTATCAGTAGTAGTAGCAGGCTGGCCAACTTGTCCAGTCCCACCTCCAGCAGTCACACTGTTTATCACTGGCAAAGCTAAAGTCACTCCTCCTATATTAATTGGTAGGGTTGTTACAACTTGAGCCTGAGTACCAGGAAGGGTCTGCAATTGTAATGGTATAGAAACACCAGGTCTAATTTGGACTGGAACTGTTTGATTTGCCAGGTTTTGAGCAAGAATATTCCCAGAAGCTGTCCTGTTAGCAGCTGTGAGTATAGCTTGATTATTACCTGCAGAAATTAGCTGAATTTGACCCTGCAAATCCTGTAGAGATGAACTACTAGTTGGATTGATTTGAATTTGTTGACCTTCTACTGCCTGAAGTTGTGGAATCACCTGGTACTGTACACTACCACTTGGATTTTGTACTTGTATGACTTGAAACTGACCAGGGGTGGAAGAATTACCTGATTTAGTTTTGGTAGGAGATGCACTCCCGTTATTACTGCTGGAAGAACTAGATGAACTAGAAGCTGGTTGAGAAACGTTATTTTCTTTTGAAGCTGGAGGAGTGGAGGCAACAAGTTGCCAAGCGTTTCCAGCAAGTTGTGTTGTTACCAGTTCAAGCTGTTGTGGCTGATTTTGAAGTTGCACCAATCCTTGGCTTGGATCTATAATAATTTGTTGTTGTCCAGTTGCTTGATTTTCACCAGGAGTCCCTATTTTGCTGCAAGTAGCTGCCAGTAAAGCCAGAGGAGAGGGCTGAGAGTCCTACCCAAAATGAGATGGTAAAGGAAAGGGGAGGAAAAAGTGGGTGGATTTAGTGGAGGCCAGTAGTTGGGAGGGGGTAATTTATTTTGACAGCTCTACCTATCAGAATTTAACTAGTGAAGTGGAAGAAATAAAAAAGAAACACGAACAAAGGTAAGAACTATACGAATAAGAAAGCAGATCTTGTAATATAAAGTTTAAATAAAAGAAAATTTCGAACAAACTTTAAGTGTTACGCTAAATTCAAAATGCCCTTGGGAAAATACACCGTTTTCTTACAATCTGAATTTCTTGTGTAACATTAAACAATGTTATACCCTCAAATATGTAAAATCTTCATGAATTTACAATTTAAGTTCCTCACTCTCAGAAAGATGCTTTGAGTGGAGAAACAGCATTTTTATTCTGTTCTTTACTTCTGGGCATTTAAAGGATATAACTCCCTCTGCCCCCTAATGCTTTACGATTTATTTTTTTAATGTGTATTTTTTACCTGGGAGCCTGAGGTTTTGGTTTTTTTATTGTTATTCTCTGGCTCAGAGGTTTTCCCTCCTTCTGTAGCCATCGTCGCTGCTGCCGCCGCCGCCTCCTCCTCCTCCTCCTTCTTCTGATCTGCAACAACCCCCCACACACATACACACACGACAACAGGTTATTAGGATTATTATTATTCATCTTCCCTCTTCTCTTCCCCCTCCCCCTCAACATTAATCGCCATAAACCCGCGATCCACGCACACCGGCAGGGGGTGGGGGAGAAGGAGGGAAGGGAGGAGGGGGATATCACAAAACGTGGTTTGAAACCCGACCCATCGGCTCCAGAGCAACACCCAGAAGGAGGTTGTTCTCACTCAGACATTAAGACAAAACACAACCCTCCTTCCCTCCCCGATTCCCTCCCTCTCCTCCTCCCCTTAAAGCATCTCAGGGGCCCCGGGGGAGGGGGGAGAACCGAGCGGGGTCTGGGGAGGGAGGGAGGAGGGAGGCGGTGAAGGAGACCAAGGGGGGTGGAGAATACGTACCGCTCATCCCGCATTAACAGGACAAACCCTCAGACGGAGACACTGGGATAGAGGTGGGTGGGGGTGGGGGCGAGGCGGGAGG